AGTGAAGTGGATGAGTCCTGGAGATAAGAAAACGAAAGCTGGAAGATTGCCTGATAGTGAGACCCACTGTAATGTGAGTGTATGTTGCGTTCACCTCGCGTATGCTGCTTCTACGGCCGTTTTGTTTGGACCACTACCTGTCCGGATTGGATGAATTTCTTGATTCACCTTTTAAGCCTACTGATATGCATGTACTGCTGTTTGAGATAAGCGCTAAATTTTTCGTTATGTTCTTCGTATATGCGGCTTTGTCTTCCCTTAACAGTTGAAAAATATGGTTACCCCTGGTTATGCATAAGTCCCAAGTGTCTGGCGTTGGATAAAACCTAGATGATTGCTATACTGTGTTGCATACTGCCATCCTATTGTTAAGACTACGCTATTCTTTTTAAACGAAACTGTTTAGGACCAATTGCAAACCATTTTCCCTGACGCATCTGTAATCGGTCAATAGAATTTGTTAAAAATTCCACGCAGATATATTCCGACGAATGTTAGACCAGGAAAGACCAGGTTGTAGCATGGACAGGCTGGGCCAAACGGCTGTAAGGCATGACGTTGGGCGTTTCAGAGATTGCAATTTATATTTTCTATAACAAAAGCAGTTGACTCTAATGATTGTAACATTGTTTCAGCCTAAGCCACAACCTACGACGGATACATCAATCACAGTTTCCACATTAGTAAGCACAGGATCTAATACACATGGTTTGCTGCTTGTTTTAAAAAGAGTAGACAAACTAATGTGATTGTAACTCCGGACGCTAGTACCGAGATCTTGCAGATCGGCTTTGAATTGTTCTACGATCGCAGCACGTGTTACTAAAGAATGTAAGTTGAAATTATCCATGATAAGAATGTGAGTATTTCCTCCATGTAGGTACGTCTTAAAACAGTCGCAAGATAACAATCCATTTCAGGCGTAGACTTTTGCGGCGGTACACCGAGACTATACGGAAAGTATGTCAGCCTCTTAAATGCAAAGGTTATTAAAGAGGATCTGGGGAATTGTGAGCATGAATCACGCATGGTCCCGAAGTTTATGTGGCTTCGGTAATAGATAATTGCCCCTCTCCCTTTTGTAATCATGTCACTTCGACATGTTTGGCAGCTAAGCTTCAGCGTCCGTCATCCCGGCGTTTAATCACGTCTCATTAACACAGATGATAGCATATGACGCAGAAACCAGGCAAACTTACAGTTCGGCCAGCTATTTCAAAAGACCTTGAGCACTGGTATTTGAGTAGACTTGTTTCGCAGTACCTTAAACTCCTTAGGGGATTACATGGGTTAGTTGTGGGAGATTGCCGACCGATGTGATGTTGAACGTCACTGGTTTTTGATGGGCTGCTGAAAAATCATCCCAAATTTAATTGTTAAATGCACGTCCCATTCCTCTTCTGAACCTACGTCGGAATCAAGTGAAACTGCGGTCATTTTGGGCTCGTGTGTACGCACCTGCAGGTTTGCTTCTTCAGATGATTCCTTGGCTTGTCTTTCCAAAACTGCTGTAGCTTTTAACAAAGGATCAAATAAAGTGATTTTCCGATTTATCTCCGAGTTTCTACAATTCTGTTGCTCTTTCCTCTGACTTAAACAAGAGTCTCAGGATTCATATACGCATCCTCTATATTTTGGTAATAGTGCTACATACTTTAGAGATCGCGTGACGACCTAATCCAAGGACATCGTTTCACAAATGATCCAACACTGATCCAACTCGTGAGTTCCGGTCTTTTATCTATATTGGGAAGAATCATCTAGAACGCCATGGGAGAAATTTTAGTTTATGGATCCTGCTTTCTGTGTCTTCCCGATGTGTTTCATTTTGATTGTGACGAGCTCCATGTGACACAAAGATATATGCGTTTTCCACAGGGTTATTTTTGTAGCGCGAATAACTTAAAAAGTTGTCAGCTTTAACGATGGATTCTAAAGGTTAATCTAAGAAGTGTGGGTTCGAAATGGTGTGCAGAGTTCACGTTACAAAGAACCTAATAGATTTAAGGCCTCTCGGTAAAGTTCAACAAAATGCCCAAGGAGCTCCATTGGCTTTGCTCGTCAGATAACTTACACCACGATTTAATGGGCTTGGATACGAAGACATTTGTGCATACGACAATCAAGGTACTATTAGTTGATTCCATTTTTGGCTGTAAATTCTGGTGACCGTTGGTTTTGGACTGCTGGCAAGCGATGGTTGTCTACTGCACGTCACTCTATTTCTGTTGGAGGTCTTTGTAACAGATTAGACAGCAAGCATAGAATTCTGGATAACTTTTGCAATAATCTCTGTGTGTGTGGTTGATGATACGGGAGACTTGGGTCCAACATAAGACATATGAGCGGCAGATGCAGAAGGATGTCCCAAGTTCAATTTTAATATGCATGGTGATGCACGAAATGTCACATCTTTGTTTAGCTCATAACACATTTGCTAGCAAAGACGAAGTGTTGGAAATTCTTATTCGTATGCTTTGGTCTATAGAAAATCGTGTAGATATCACGAGATCTTTGTATGGAATATGGTTTTGGCACCAAACACAATTTTCAAGATGGTGCATAAGATCAGATTTAGTGTTGAACAGAGAGTGTAAATTATAATGCTTGTTACGGAAACGAGGAGTTTTGCAGCGACACAAAGATGCTTTCGTGCTTATTTTCGTACAAAATGGGTTTCATGTAAACAGCCTATTCAGTGATTGTATCGTCAATTTGAAACAACTGGCTCTGTGGTGGAGAAGAATCGACGGCGCAGACCAAGTGTCCGCACCCTGAAACCATGGGAGCAGTTCACGTTGCTCTGACACGAAGTCCTAGTTAATGAACTAGGAACACTTCTGCTGGGTTTGGAATATCTCCTCGGTCCATATAACTGACTCTGCATTCTGATCTCCAAATTTTTCCTTACAAGATAACATTTGTCCATAAAGTAACAGCAGAGGACTAACAACGAAGCTATCTGTTCGCTTCGTGGTTAATGCAAGAGCATCACGTTTTGTACAACACGTGGTTTACTGACGAGGCGTATTTTAATTTAAATGATGTAGTGATTAAGCAAAATGTTCGTTTCTGGGTAAGTGCCCATCCTCATATTCTACACAAATGGGAAAATTATGGAGAAACTTTCAGTGCCTGGACAGCAATTTCATCCCATGGAATCATCGGACCGCTTTTCTTCATTCAGACCGTAAACAAACATCGCTATAAGGATATGTTGGAAAACAGATTTATTCCGGAACCCTTGGCAACAGGTCCATCATTGTAAACTCAATGGTTCATTCAAGACTGGGCATGCCCACACGCTGCAAATGTTGTTCTTGACTACCTGTATGATAAGTTTGATATGCGGGTAAATTCTCATCGGTTTCCTGACCGTCACCAAGGTGGGAGACTCTGGACCCTGCATAGCCTGGAAATAAATCTAGGTTGTTTCTGCTTGTGCAGCAAGTTGAAAGATAATGCTTTCATAAGGAAGTCTGCATGTGCAACTCAACTCAGAGCTCTCATCATGCAGTGGTGCCTTTTAGTTTCGGAAGAATTTTGAAGTAATGTTGCGACAAATGTAACGGTTCGTTTGCAAGAGGTGGTGAAACAAAATATTGGTCACATTGAACACATATTTGATTGAACGAAATTTCCATACTCACACAAGTAATTCAACACTAGTATTTTAATATTTAAATGATAAAGACATGCACAATGAACAGAACATATGTATAACATTTCGTGTGCCACGCTGTATGTTGATAAAATCGACGGAATTCATTCGATAGCACGTTTCTGTTGGTGGGTTATATTTGTTATCATGAGCACTACCTAAGTATCAAAGCGACGGTTAATTTTCCTGACGTACTACCAAGTTTACAGAAGACAACGGCCAACTATGACTTAAGGGAAGCAGATGATGCATCGTTCCATTGCCGTAAACAATAGATCACGTCAAATGAATTCATCTTAACGTTCAGCTTTATTAAGGTAGCCCATCAATAGTAATCCTTGGCATCGGTCTACTAGCTGGCAACCAGAAGACTATTGGCCTCAAACTTCATGAATGTAATTGGCTAGCTAGTCAGAATGAGTCAATGACATTTTAGTAAATTGGTCTACCAATAACATACCTTGAGGATTTCTATTGGGCGCACTGCTCGAACTGACAAAAAGCCAGATTATTCACAGTTATCAGTTACTAGAACCCAGTAACCTTCAACTGAATCTTTCTCCCATTAACTGTTTATTTTGACCCCATATTTTTGCTGTACGTATTGGTTGTCGTGTGCTTAATCAAGGTTGTTCTAGTGGACTTTGTCTCCTAATTTGGACCGCTGATTACTCAGGGTGCCGCTCCTAGTTTCGGATATAATTAATTTAACGCTCTGTATACAAACATATTTTTTTAGATTTACACCGCAAGTACATCGACTTTTGAATCAAAGATTCTTTCCTCTGCTATTGTTTTCTAACTTTTGTTTTAAGAGGTCTCCTACTTTGACTATATAAACACTTTAATTATTTTACCAAAGCATGGTTGACTAACATGTCACTAATAGCAGTATCCAGTTGTAGTATGTTCATCATTCATTTTTAGGCAAGCGTAAACGACAACTGGCAATGCTGTACAATTCTTTGCGAATATATCGATTCCTGGTTGAAAACAACCACTACGGGTTCCGCCATGTTTTGACCTTATACATCGAAGATTGAAGAGAAATCTAGGATCGCTGTCTTCAGATTATCAAACCAGTTGATTACATATAATGCAGCAGTTCTAGAATTTTACCATCAACGGACAATGTTAACGATTGTTGAACACAAGTGGTTAAACAGGGTTCACGCCAAATAAAAATCAAATTTGCTATCTTTGTTGAAAATATCATTACGAAAATGTCAGTAACTAACTATTTTGCTAACTCATTTGTAGAAAAGGTAGTGAACAAAGAACAGAATACAATACATACATACATGCAAAATTATTTCCATCTATTTTACATCCGTTTTAGTGTTCGCAAGTTAATAAAACAGGCAATAATAGAGAATGATTTTCTTAGCCATTTGGCGCAAGAAGAACTCCGCGATATTATCGACTGCATGCAGCCAATTGCAAGCAAAGCAGGGGACGTTTTAATCGCTGAGGGCGAAACGGGAAGCATGGTTTACGTACTCTTTGGTGAGTCAGTCTAATTTCAAGACAAGTTAGTCCTATTTCGCTTAGGCAAGCTACATTTGATAAGCAGTAAATCATATAGTATTCCCTGACTGCGTTTCAGTCATGAAAGTTGGATATACGTTTAAATTATGATTTCCATCACCAAACTAGCCTACACATCTAATCAGACAGAAGGTTTGTGTCATTTACAAAATACATTACACATGTAACAAAGGCATTTTGTGATGTTAGATTTGCAGATCTGGGCGGAAATTGGGTTGTTCACAGTGTGACAGGTTAGCGTTCCAGCGCCGCTTTTAGTTTCAAATCTGTAAATTATCTAGTTTCGGTGTTTGCTGAAATCTTGACCAGTTTCTGATAGTCTATATCTATTTTTATCTCTGGTTTCACTATTCACACTTAGTGCAATGCATTGATTTGTTTGACAGATATTCGGCAGCTTGATAACAATAGGTGTAATGGTACAAGATATCAGAGGCTGAAAAGAGATATAGTGGACCGCTCCTCAATGACTAGCGCAAACTATTTCCCCATTCTTCCCCTATTCAGAATCCAATGTGGTTTTATCTCTAGCTGCATAAATCATTATTGTTAGTGCCACCTTTTTCAGCGTCACCCGATTAGAGTTAATGAAAAAGGTAAGCAATGTGTTTGATATATTTTAAAAAGTAAATGGGCGCCAGCTTGCAAATGAACCTCGGTGTCATGCAAAAACACGTTGAGCCGATACCGGAAAAATGAAATCGGGAAAGTAATGAAGCTAGTACGCTACATATCACTGCACTGAGGATGCCACCTCGCATGGTGGTGAAACGTTTGCGAGAAAACCGCCAAGCTCGGAGAACAAATGAACCATTGAAGTTCAAAAGATATTTGCCCTAGGTGCACTCTACTAGATAGCCAATTCAAATCGCTGCACCCTGTATCAGCTTTCTTTTCATTCGAGATCCTCCGTAGTACATATTACTTTTACACTTTTGGGGAAAGGACAAGTGGTCTTGCACTTTCGATTTGTTGATGTGGCAGACCAGGCCAAAATGGTTTGGAAAGAAATGCCGTTGTCTATTAGCCGGAACTGATATTGAAGGACACTTGTGTTCCACTGGCATCTTCGTTTCTAGTTAAATAGTGGAAGATAAATACCGTATTACTAGAGTTATAAGTTATTATGGCTGTGCAAATACGTCGAAAGGCTACTAAAATATCCACATAGTCAACGCTCTGTCACTGCCTTTCTGGCTGCTTATGTACTCGCAAGAACGTTTCACAGTATATAATTTACAGCAACAGATGAATCCCCTACGCACGATATCGTGGTCTGCAGAAAAAGGAGTTCTTTAGTGTGATTGCTCTAAATAGCGTCTAGAAAGAATTCAACTGAGACGCCGAGTAAACTTCGTGTGTTTTCCAAGCAAATATCCCCAACAGCTATCCTTCTACTCCAGAAGCATGGAGAGTGGGCGACTGGCTGCAGGTTCTGTACCAATGTTTGTACCAATATCCGCATCTGCTGTATGGTGGGTGGAGGTGGAGCAGCGACTTCAACAGGAACGAGTCACTGAGGTGCAAAACACGGCAAATCGTCATGAAGTCAAGACGTATTCGCAAAATTTTTTGTATAACTGGGTCTGTAAACTGGAAAGTAATCAGAAAACAAACTACTGGACATGTTTGATCTTCCACACTGTATTGTACTGGTCTTACTCTAGCTTTGACCATCTGATGCATGAGACTAGGCCAGCAGCCCTGTCTGGAAGAAATATAATGGCTGCGTCTAGGCAGGCAATGCATTCTAAGTGTGTAGTCATATATCCGGACTGTGTTGTCAACTAACTTCAAGTTGCACTGGTGTAGTACGTCCATTTTTCTCACAGAAATTAGGGAGGAAATGGTTAGCCGTTGGGTGCATAAACTCGGTCATCATCATCCTTTAGCAGGCCAAAGAATACCGACTTCACTTGGTGGATTAAGAGGCCGATTTCTACTGAACATATGGAGAGTTAGTGGAAATGCTGTTCAAACAGATCATGGCAATCGTTGCCTCTAATTACTTTGAGCATCATCGGTTCATCCGCAAACAAGGCCCACGGCAAACAATGGATGCATGGCGGATCATAAATGGAAAGCAAGACCAATCACTGGAAAAACGGTACACTGATATAATACAGATAAAACGGCCAAGGCTTGACAAGTACCGTGGGATGGTTTGTGTGAACGCTACGTAAGTTCAAATTAAGAAGTTACAATGAAGCTAACCACACATCTGTGAACTCACCATATTATTCGCGTGAACATACATGTCTACCCGTGTAAAACGCGATCGTGGAAACTGGTGAGCGTATTGTTTGTCTGCATTTCGTCGTTACTTCGCAAACCGAAATCAAATCAAGCAACGTAATTACTGTAATGCATCGTCGGTCGTTCTCTAAAACCTGCTAGCGTTGGAGGAGAAATGATAAGGCTCTAAAGAGCGTATCAAATTTGATAAATTCGAAGAGAAATTTAGTTCCGGTGGCATTCCAGCCGAATATACTGCTTGGCCAGTTTCAGCTGGTGACCCAAAAATTTTGTGCTGAGGCGGAATTTCAGAAGATGACAGCAAGCGTGACCTCGGTTTTTCAACTTCTGGTGCGCCAGAATGAGTTTGCTCCATAGACGGCGGTAACAATCACTATACCCTCCCAAACTGTTCAGTAGCAGATGCTACGTCAAGTGGAGTAGTCACCACAAATTTTTGGATGACGTTTGCTGTACGGTCTTCAGTGCAACCATATAGCTTTTGACCAAGCTTGCCAGGACGGAAACATATTCATTGGGCAGTTGGATGAAGATGAAGAAGTCGAATTCCCGAACGCACTCCTTGGGAGGTCCACATTTTGGTTCGCAGTTTTGGACGCCCTCAGTTGCTGAGCCGAACAGACAAGGTCCCCATTCATCACCACACACAACGTCGCAGTCAACTGAAGCGGTTTCTAACACGTGGTCTAATTTTTTATATACGTAAGTGGACTTGTGGTGTACAAGTACAGATTTGCAATTGCCCTTGTAGATCGGAAGTAGATTCGCCAATGACCGTTCAAAAGCATGGCCTAAGTCCAGTTGCATTAGACCGTGCCATTACTGCTAACAGATCATCCGCATTATCTTGATGTCAACGACAAAATTAGAAAATGCGATTCCGTAACAGACGCTAGATCTTTGACGAAGACGAAAAATAAGATTGGCACTAGCACTGATCCCTGAGGAACACCGTAACCCAAGTCTAAAAGACAAGGAAATGGTCCCCGAACCCAAACCAGAAACTGCTGCAACAGGAGGAAATAATAAATCCATCTAAGAATTGATTACTGCAATGCGCCATGAAGTGCATCATTGGAAGAGCGTCACTAGCAGGTTACAAGAAGGTTAACCAGAACCGTCTATATCAAAATAACAAAAAACCGTGAACTGACGGCGCAGAGAGCTGAACAAAATGGGCAACAAGAGCTCATAGCAAAAACCGATGGATGAAATTCTGGATCAAAGAAGTCCTAGCAAATTCAGTTAGAATACTAGCGAGTAGATGCAGAAGCTAAATAAAAAACGGGTTGCGCGTCGTTATTTATATTTCAAATGGAATAAAACAATCTGGTCAAAAAACGCTTCTGAAAAATCCGATGCACAGGCGCAGTTTCTAAAATACATTCACAAGTGAAAATAATGCAATTTCCTGCCATAGGTGAGTACTCTATCCAGATGAAGCACAAATAACTGGGGTCTCTAATTTCTCAGGGCCACTCGTCCTACTTACTATTTTAAATGCTTGGTCAAAAGTCAATATCCCGCAAGTGAAGAAACTTGACAAATCGGATTGTCCAAAGGTACTGATCAGTCACAAACAGCGGACGATTTTCAGCCTCAGCAGTCCGATACCGCTTTCATGAGAAGTACACAAAATTTAACTTGATCATATTGCTTAGCTTAAGTAACCTGTTGCGCACTCAACACTTCACATCGGATGATAGTAATCAGGAGCTGGGTTTACGTCGACCTCATACCAAATCATTCAAGTTCACCTTGCACTGATGCATTACCAATTGCTATTCGTTGGTTCGAAATCTACTGACAGCTCTACAGAACTGCAAAACGCTATAGTGACCATATTCGTGTAAGTGCTTATCCGAACACGAATTATACGTGAACTGGTCATGAACAGATGGAACATGACGGTTTAAAATTATTATGGCACGGACAAACATCAAACAACGCTGCTGGAAAATGCCATTTATCTACCCAACATTGCCGGCACCGTCACAAATTTCGGAAGTATTTTGATAGAATCCAGATGTGTTAGATGGTTAGGTGTTCTTTGGGAATTCTGATAAGTGTGCCAAACTTAATTCGGCCTGCCGAGTTTGTCGGAAGATTATAGGAAATAAATTGACTTATACAAAATGTTCAAGGTATCCTCGAAATGGTTTTACGTCTCTACGTCTAGTTGAAACACGAAATATTAGTGCCGAAGAAAGAGAAAACTATTACAAGTTAGGGATCAGCAATGTGCTGCATAAAACTAATAATGGGGAACATATTTTATTTGCTAAGTTGGACCGTCCTTCGACGTTTACACCATCCGTCTGGTTTCTTCTCTAAAAGCGTGAGACATTCTAATCTGAGTTGATTAAACTTGCACACTTTAGAGGTTCCGGTTCCCAACGGCGACCAATTTAAGGCTCGCATACCACTTATAAAGCACTTTATCTCCTTTACTAGAATAAACTCAAGAAACAAATCAGCCACTCTGGAATTCATATTTGCCTAAGAGGGAACTATGACCAGCAGCTGAACAGTGACAGATGTATCAGAAGCCAAGATCCCAAAAACAACAATATAAGCATTCTCCCGTGGTTGAAAACACGGAACCAAGACTTAGAGTAATTCATTTTGGTAGCTATACAAGTCTTTCCGGACGCCCAGAAAATGGAAGCGCGCATAAGCGCGTGAAGTCATCGTGAAAGACC